ACCACAGGAGGTTAAATGATTTACCAAGGTCACCTGGCTGGTAAGTGGCCAAGCCGGGATTCCTGCCTGGATGGTCTGGTCCCAGCACACTGTTGGTCACCACACTGCACTGTCCCTCGGTCCCTCGCAAGGCACTTTCTGTGATGGCCCTGACGCATGGCCCAGCTCTGTCTGAACACCCCCCTAACAGGGAGTGTTCCTCTAGGAGTCTCTGCTAGTCAGGGGTCTCCAGAGAGGCAGAACCAATAGGTGTGTGTGTTCTGCGTGCACACACACATGCACACACACACAGACTTCTTCTAGAATGGGTGCTAAGCCTGACTCTCATCCTAAAAGGCTATCACTGAAGTCCGGCTGGGTAGGGGTGGGGTGGAGCGAGTAGCATCAGCAAAAGCAATTTTGTTAGAGGGGGTCTTGATTTATGCAGTCACTGGGGCCCCAAATTGATGCCCTTGAATGAAATTTTAGAAAGCAATGCAGAGAAGTCCTTTTGCAATGTGGATAAAACCTGAGTTTTCAAATGTCAAGCATTGGACCCACCTGGGTTATCACCTAAAGGGATTTCTACTGTTTCATTGCACTCAAGCTAAGCATAATCGTTCATAAATACATTTTGAAAATGACTTTTTATTGCAACAGTGTAAAAAAAATAAAAAGCTTAAAGTCTATATACAAAAATACCACCATCGCCAGAGAGAAAACTGTTAACGTTTTGGTGTATTTCCTCCCTGGTGTTTCTAGGCCCATGTAATTTTTTAGGAAATTGGGAACATATTGAATGGACAGTTTTACATCCTGCTTCTTTTATGATGTCAGTATATCATAAACAGTTCCTATTATTATGAAAGTAGGTTCTTATTGGGGTCAGGCCAGGCCCGGAGTGAGCCACAGAAACACGGGACCCCAGATTCCAAGAACAAGGGTTGACTGAGTGGAGATCCTTCGGTCCACTCTGCACACATGGAATGGGCTGCAGGCGGGTCTTGGAGTTGGCTGAGTTCAGGTTATAAACAATACTGGGCTGAGCAGTGCACCGCAGCAAAATTAAGTTGAAGGGAGACTTTTATTTTTCCCCCAGGGAGAGGGTCTTGCTCTGTTACCCAGGCTGGAGTGCAGTGGTGTGATCATGGCTCACTGCAACCACTAACCCCTGGACTTGAGCAATCCTCTTGCCTCAGCCTCCTGAGTAGCTGGGACTGCAGGTGTGCGCCATGACACCCAGCTAATTTTTGTATTTTTAATAGAGATGGGATCTCACTCTTGCTCAGGCTGGTCTTGAGCTCCTGGCCTCAAGTGATCCTCCCAACTCGGCTTCCCAAAATGCTGGGATTACATACGTGAGCTGCCATGCTTGGCCTGAAGGGAGGCTCTGTACATAGCAGCCAGAGAGGGCACGGGGAGATGGTTTAGCGAGGGGCCTCACAGACTCAGGAGCAAACAGAGGGAGAGAGGACAGGCCGAAGGGTGCAGCAGCTGGGGAGCAGTCTCGGGAGCAGGGAGGAGGACAATCCTGACCTGCCCTGTGACCCTGGGATGCTCCTTTACTCACCTCGTGTTCCCCGGGTGCCTGCCATGCCCAGCTTGGGGCCAGGCACACAGAAAGCAACAGGAAAAGCTCTTCTAGGCACAAAGGATCTGGCAGATTTTAAGGAGTTCTTATTCCACAGCCTGAAAATTCCTGTTGAGTCTTTCAAGGACCTTCCTGATCTGGTCCCTGTTTCCTAACTTCATCTTCCCCCTCTCCCCGCCCCCCCCCCCCGTCCCTGCCCACCCGCCTTCCACCCAGCTGCACCTCTGGGCTTTGGCGTCGGCCGTCCCTGAGCTCGGACACTTGCTCCTGCACCCACGAGGCTCAGGGCTCATCAGCACCTCCAGGGCTTTGCCGCACAGCCACTTTCCGGTGAGGTCTCCCCTGGGACCGTGGGTTGGATTGTGTCCCCGCAAAAGATGTTGAGGTCCCCACCCCTAGTACTGATGAATGTGGCCTTATCTGGAAATAGAACCTTTGTAGTTGATCAAATGAAGATGCGGTCACACTGGAGTAGGTAGGGTGGCCCTAGTCCAATGTGACTGGTGTCTTCTTAAAAGGGGAATGTGGACACAGAGACGGCCGCACACACCGGGGACGCTGTGAGAAGAGGAAGGCAGGGACGGGGGACGGCCTGCAGCCACTGTCACAGAGCTGGGGGGAGACCTGCAGATTCTCCCTCAGAAGGAACCAGCCCTGCCAACGCCTCCATCGCAGCCTGGTGGCCTCCAGAACCGTGGGAGAATAACCTCTGCTGTCTTTAGCCCCCGTCCGGTCCCTTGTCGCAGCAGCCTCAGCACAGTCCTCCGCCCAGCGCCCGATGCCACATTGGGTCACCCCCGGGGCGCTCTCTGCCTCTTCTCCGCAACTTCTCCCTTGCTACTGTGCCGTGCCGTTACTGCCTGTCTCCTTGCCTCTGGAACCAGGGCAGGGATTTTTGCTTTTATATTTATTGAGGACCTACTACGTGCCCAGTACTGCTGTCGGAGAGAGAGCTGGCAGTGAGCAAAACCAAGAGGGAGAGAGACAAGAAACAAATAGCTATGACACAATGGCAGGTGAGGGTCGGTGCTATGAAAAATTAATTAACCAGTTAACTACTGCTGTGAAATAAACCGCCCTGAAGCTTAATGGCCTAAAACAACAAATGTAGTATTAGTTCTCCTGGTTCTCTGGTTGACTGGGTTCTGGCTGGGAGTGTTGCCTGTGGGCACAGCCGGACGTGGGCCAGGCCTTGAGTCATCTGAAGACTCTGCAGTCTGCACTTCTGGGGTGGCTCACTCACTGGTAGCCCAGCTGGGACCCCTACTTGTAGCCTCTCCAGGTGGCCTGGGCTTCTCAGCATGCCAGCTGGGTTCTGGAAGGAGCGCTCCGAGTGAGTGTTCCAAGCAGTAGGAAGCAGAGGCTGCTAGGCTAGTTAAGGACTGTGCCTGGAACTGGCTCTCCCTTTCTCTCCCCATCCTGAACCTGTCGGTGCCCTCCCCTGCAGGCTTGCCCTTTGCTCCCTGATCTCTACCACCCATGAGACTTTGTCATCAAGTCGCCCTCCTCAGCCCAGAATCCAGGTGCCAACCAGGTCACCCATGTTGCTGTGTTTGCTGCTACTGAACTCCAGCCCACGACCCAAACGCTGGCTGCTCAGCCCTGCTTCACACAGTGGGATTATCTGGAACTCTGCCTGATCCCAGCCGGGCTTGGGACTCTTCTGGCTCCCTGGCCACCTGTCTGATTTGTCACCCAAAGACCAGCTGCTGGGGTAGTGGTTGCAAGGTGACAAGGGTGCCAATTTGAGAACCTGACCTCCTGGGTTTAGATCTGGCTCTGCCACACACTCGCTGTGTTGCGTTGGACAAGTAGTTTAATCTGCCTGTGCTTTTTACCCCTTCAATAGAGGGCTTTTATTGCATCTTTAAATTTTACAAATAGGTCTTAAGAGTCATCTGCCATCTTGTTTCTGTAGCTGGGCAACTCTAAGATGTTTTTTTTTTGTTTTTTTTTTTGAGTCTCACTCCATTGCCCGGGCTAGAGTGTCATGGCATCAGCCTCACTCACAGCAACCTCAAACTCAAGCGATCCTCCTGCCTCAGTCTCCAGAGTAGCTGGGACTACAGGCATGTCCCACCATGCCTGGCTTATTTTTTTTAAATATATTTTTAGTTGTCCAGCTAATTTCTTTCTATTTTTTTAGTAGAGACGGGGTCTCACTCTTGCTCAGGCTGGTCTCTAACGCCTGAGCTCAAACGATCCTCGCGCCTCGGCCTCCCAGAGTGCTAGGATTACAGGCATGAGCCACCTCACCCAGCCTGAGATGTTCTTTGTCAGCCTGCTGACCTGGTCCCTTTTCAGAGACTCATACTACCCAAAAATGTCCTGCTATTCTTGTTTCCACCTGCTGTGGCTTATGGAATCAAAATTAGCAACCCGAATTGGATAATAATGTTCAAAGTCCTTTCCTTCAAGAATTAACTCATCTTTCTGGGCTTGAGATGCTGAGTAAGCAATGCCTTGGTCTCCTCCAGACCTGCTGGTGCATTGCCCACCCGAGAAACTTCAGATTTCAACAAGACGCATCCTGAGCGGTGACAGGAGGTGGTGGGGCAGGGAGCGCACAGACCGAGCCAGGGGAACACCCTCGCCGGAGCTCTGTAGCCCACCACAGGCAGTGTGACCCGCAGCCAGTCCCTCCTACGTCCCAACGCTTGTCGGCCTGGAGCCTCTCCTTTGTCTTTCCAAGGAGACTGAGCTCGACATAGAAGTGACTGAAGTCCTTCCACAAGTTTCCTCTGGGGCCTTCATGATACCCGTGCGACCTTTTGAACAATGGCAACATTTTCTCTGATCACTAACAATGGTCATCATTCTCGCAGTGGACGGGGCCAAGAGAAAACTCTTTGCTGTGCTTTTCCTCCTGCATCTGTAAGATCATAGTCTCACAGGTTTGCTGCGAGAATTCATTGAGTCCGTGTACATGGAGAGCTTAGACGGGTGCGAGCACATGGGAGGTGCCAAGTGCCAGCACCGATGGTTTTACTGTATTAGAGTCTGTGACTCTTGGATGGAACTCCAGACCCTTCCTGTGCTGCAGCCAGAACACACCTTGAACCCCCACGTCCACCTGGGCCTCCTCAGAGAGTCCACGAGGCAGAGCATAAAGTCCATCTTGTGACAAAATGTAGCGAGAGTCCATTTGAATTTCTAGAGGCTGCACCAGGGGACCCAAAATTAACATTGGCATCTTTGGAGACAAAGCAGATGCCCTTAGTGATTGGCAAGCTTCCGTGGCGGCCACACAACTGTGTGTTCTGGTTGACTAGCGGGGAAGGTGCCAGAATTTCTTTATAAGAGGCGCGGGTGGGAGGCGGCAGTGCGGCTGGAGCAGGACGCCAAGGGGCCTGGCGGGGAGCCGCGTCTGCACAGCAGGAGGCGTCCAGGCGGGGGCTTGACGGCGCTGTGCGTGCTTGGGGGAGGCGCGGGCGCCCGTGCTGCAGTGGTGGCGAGCAGGACACTAGCTCTGTCCTCAGCTGGGGCCACTGGGCCACTGGCTCAGCCTGATCACAAAACAGCAAAGGATCAAGGAACATTGGAAGGTTAGAAACAGGCTCTGGTTTCTGTGTTACCTTTTTCCCCAAATTATTTTTTACTGTGGTAAAAGCTGTACAACATAAACTTTACCATCTGAACCACGTCCAAGTGTCCGGTTCAGTGGTGTCAAGTTCATTCCCACTGTCGTCCACCCAATTCCCAGAACTCTTTCACCTTGTGAAACTGGAACTCTGTGCCCATTAGACGACTGCCCCAGCCGCTGGCCGCCGCCCTTCCACTTTCCGTTTCTACGAATTTGACGACTCTAGGTGGAATCGTGCAATATTGGTTTCTGTGTTCCTTTGGAAAGTCTGGGCTTTTGGGGAGCTTCACGGTGGCCGTCAGTGCGTACGCCGTCCTCCTGCGTCTCCAGCTGCTGCTTCTCTGTCTCCCTGGGGTGTCCTGCCTGTGTCGGCCCCCAGGTGCCGCCTCTCCCTCCTCCGTGCTTGGCCAGCGTAGCCTTCCCTTCCACACTCTTCCTGGGCGCTCCCCCCCAGCCAGGGCTTCTGTCACCTCTAATAGGTGATGGCCCCTTGGTGGCCTTAAGGCTTCATCCTCCCCCAGGCCTTTGCCCTGCAGCCCCTGCCCAGCGGCTCCCTGTCCTGGCTCCCTGTCCCAGCTCCCCGTCCCGGCTCACTCCTGCGCATCCCTCGGGCACAGCCTTCCTGACAGACACCAGAGAGCTCCTGGCCTGTTTCCTTGCCTGTGTCCCCGCTAGGGTGTGAGCTGTCCAAGGCTGAGTCTCCTTCCTCCTGACATCCCAGCCTCGCAGACATCAGGAGCTCAGGAAATATTTGGCAAATGAGTGGATAAAGGAATCTTACAACACAGCTCAGTGGAAAAGTACAACCAGGAGAAAGGGTTCCAGGTGAAGATGGTGAGTTGAACACGTGCGTCTAATTTATTCCTAAGGAAATCCCACTAAAACTACAGCAAAGGCATTTAAACGGTAGTATAGAAACCCACGAGGGGGGGTGAAGGGGCAGACCTGGGAAACCGAGTCACAAGTGGCCACTGGGAAAAGCAAAGCACCAACGTCATGGACACCACTGAATCCTCAAGAGGTGCAGGGACGGGCAGCAGCAGGGACCCGGGGGGTGGAGCGAGGAGGGGGAGCTTTGGGGCCATGCTGGAGGCTGCCGGCCAAGCCATACGGACAAATGCAGCACTTACCCAGCCGTCTTCCTGCCAGGGGCCCAGTGTCTTGTCTGCACAGGGGCCCTGGTCCGGACGAGCCCTGGTCTGGGCGAGCCCTGCGTTACCCACTGTCTTCCTCCGGAAAGCTGAAGCCATTCTGTGACCTGGAGACTCCATTTGGAATATGTCATCCTGGGGGCCTTCCCCTCGAAGTGGCAACAAGGCCCTTTCCTTACTGAGCTAGCCTTGTGCTTCAGACCCAGCTGCTCAAAACTCAACAATATTTGGTTAGACATATACAGTTAGGTGGTTAAAAAAATACTATTTTAAAAGTAAGAAAATTATTAACACAGAAGTCAGCCAAGGGGTTACCTTTCTGGGGAAGAGAGGAGGATGTGACTGAGGAAGAACACGTATGGGAGGCTGTAGTGGGTTGAATTGTGTGCCCCCAAGAGATACGTTCAAGCCCTAAGCCCCAGTACCTGCATGTGACTTGAATTGGGAACAGTCTTTGCACGTGTAATCGAGTCATGATGGGGTCATACTCACTAGATGAATGTGGGCCCTACATCCAGTGACTGGGTCTTTATAAGGGGCAAGAGGGGAGATCTGGGTATAGACACCGTTGGGAGGAAGGCCATGTGATGATGGGGACAGAGGTGGGACAGGCCTGGAATGCCAAGATTGCTGTCACAGAAGTTAGGGAAAGGCAAGGAAGAATTTTTCCCACTAGCCTTGGGAGGGAGCAAGGCCCTGCTGACACCCTGATTTCAGACTCCTAGCCTCCAAAACTGCGAGAGAATAAATTCCTGTTGTTTTAAGGCCCCCAGTTTGTGACACCGTATCTTGTTTCAGCAGCCGAGCAATCTAGTACAGGTGCCTGAGGTTTTAGTAATGTTCTATTTCATCAGCTGGGTTAAGAGTACACAGGGGTTGGCTTTATTATTTTTTACACTGTACATGTTTTATGTACATATATGATTTCACAGTAACAAAAATAAAGATAAACAGCAAAAAAGGAACATGTAGTGATTGGACTTTGGAGATAAGTTCAGGTTGGGCGCATTTGGTTATGAGTTGGTCTTGGGCACCAGGACTGCAGCAGGGGGATGTCAGGTGTGGGGCATGTGCCGAAGGGGACTTTCTGGGGTCGAGCTTGAATGTCATAGACAGCTGGAGCTTCGTGTCTCGCAAGCAAACATGCTGTGTGATCACGGGCCAGACAACATTGTAGCGGTGTAATGTCCACAAGAGGATGAGATGCCCTTCCATCCCAGGGGCAGCAGGCGGCGTACCCTCCTGGGGAAGGTTCTGCACTGGGGAGCCTGAGTGACGCGTCTGCCCAAGGGGCGGGGTGTGCAGGTGTCCCTCAGAAAGTTCTCTGGGGGCTGGCTGAACCGCAGCAAGGGGCTTCTGCCTTCCTGTGTTCGGCCAGAGGGTTACCTTTTCCCGGCCTGATGGGAGATGCTTTGGGAATAGCTAAGAGCCCTGAATACACCAATGTGGGCACAATCTGAGCAGCCCCACCGTCTGCAAGGTGCTTGTCACACCACGTCTGGCTCTCCGTCGATGACTATGTGTTGATGTCCATGACACGTGATTTTTTTTCTCTGTTTGGTTTCCTGCCTGGTGGTTAGAGGACATAGCCATCCCAAGGAATTCTCAGTACATGTGTGTTCCTTTGGCTGGGAAAAAACATTTTTAAAGGATGGGAAAGTGAACACGGAGCACCTTGTAGAACCATTCAAACCAATAGACTGGTTCTGAATGCAAGATAAGAGTGCACTTGGAGAAGTGGACAGAGATGGGAGAAAATCGCTTTATGTCTTTCTCTTAAAGCTGTGTTAAGTTCTATTTAATGGACATTCTGGGAAAAGGACGTAATTCCTTTAAAAGCTGGGCTGCCCTGCAGCTGCAGCCAAGTTGTAAAACTGTTTGGGATGTGGAAAGGTTAGTAAAGAGACCAACTGCATGGTCATTTCTAACGATCCGAGGGGAGGGTGTTTGGAATGGTCTGAACGCTGGCTGCCCAGGAAACCAATGATCGGAAAAATAACATCACAGGCTCTTTATATGGCCCGCCGGTGTCGTGATGCAATGTGATTATTTTTCTGTCTTTCTGCTTTTACCACAGGAAAAGGAAGAAGCGAGGGGATGGGAGGAGTGCTCAGATGCTAATTACCAGCGCTTCCCTCAGACAAATTATAAACAGGCAGTTAAAGAATGCTCCCGCTGCACCAACGAAGCAGAGCAGCCTTTAAACACTCTGGATGTCAACATGCCCTAATTTCAAAAGCACTAGAGCTGTGTATAGCCCCAAAGATAATTTTTTTTCTCCAAGGAATGATTCAATAGAGTTTAAAAAAAAAAAAAAAAGTAACTCAACAACCCGTTCCTGGGCCTGCGGCAGACATCATTAATCAATCAAGGCAGATTTCTTCCCCGCCCCCCCCACCCCCTCCTGGGACCTAGATGCTGCCCCAGAATTCTTCTCACCAGTGTGTGCCTAAGAACTACTATAAATGGATTAGAATTGGCTTGTGCACTGAGCCAAGGAGAGAGGCACCTAGCACAGTAGTTAAAGTGAAGTCTCTGGAGCTCAGCTCAGCCACTTAAACTTTCAGATAAGTTTTCTTATCTGTGAAGTGCAGAAAATAAGAGTACGTATTGCCTAGTACTGTTGTAAGAATTAAATCAATTGCCACACCTAAAGAGTTCAGAACAGGGACAAATAGTAAGTGTTCAACAGGTATTAATTTTTTCTATAATAAAGAGCTAAAGATCACTTATTTAACCCTGGAGGAAGCACTAATTTTAGTAGTAATCTATGCATTGAAGATTCATTCAACAGAGATATTTAGCAACTACTATTATGTGCTGGACTTTGTACAAAATGCTGGGATTCTGTGACTAGCAACACCAGTAGGGTACCAACTTTAGATAGTATACATAAATCTTGCTCAAAGTTGGTATCCTTTTAAATGTAATGATATACTGACAAGTTATTTGTTTATATTCAGTTGTTTTACATAAAATTCTATGTAATAGAAAAAGAATCAGAAGATAAGTGATCAGTTCAATATAGAATGCTACTCAATTTCATTAATAAACAGGGAAACAAATTAACTACTCAATTTCATTAATAAACAGGGAAACAAATTAATACAACAATGAGAATAGCAGCATGAAAGATAAGAGAAATACAAGATCAATATAGACACTTAACATTCAAATAAGGAAATCCAGAAAGAGAGAGAAGAGGCAATGAGGAGGAGAAAATCATCAAATAAATAATATAAAATATTTCTAGACCTGAAGGGCAGGTGTCTTCTGACAAGCTCCATGAAAGTGCTGGGCAAAATGAATGGAGAGACCCTCATGAAAACATAGTATCATGACATTTTTGAATCTCAGGGATAAAGAAAAAAAAACACCAAAAACAAAACAAAAACCCAGGGTTGGGGGAGGGCAGGAAATGAATCATAAGCAAAGAAACAGGAGTGAAATAGCATTAGGTTTTTAAACTATAATTTTATACCCAGCCAATCTATCAATCAAATGTGAAGGTAGAGCAAAGATATTTTCAGGCTATCATGACTCAAAAATATACTTCTGTTAAAGGACAATTTAAAAAAAGATAAAATGACTCTGATACAGATAGAAAATGAATATATGTTACTATCTTACTTAACTCACTATTAATGAAGAAACCAGTAAGATATTACGGCCAGTTTAAAGAAACCAAAGAAGCACAAATTTATATGGAATAAAGGAATTGAAAAACAAATTTGCAAATACATATGAAATTGACTTTTTTGGTGAAGGACAGGGAGAGAGCTGTGGATTGTTTATTGCATGTCTATAGATAAGAATTGTTTTGCATTTCTATCAGTTATTTACAACTTAGAGTTGTAAAATAGCTGGAAGGCAACAAAAGGCCCCATATAATTAGAATCAGATAACTGAGAAGGGTGTGCTCTAAATAATACTTAGCTTTTCACTGAAACACAACATGTTCCAAGTACACTCCTAAGTAACTTTATTAGGACACTACCAGAGAATATTAAAAGGAGAGAGTAAACAAACAAAAAACCCGAGAGAGACACACAGGATCCGCCAAACAGGGTATAGGGCACCCAACACTGGAGGGTGGTGGATCCCAGGGTGACAGTGGAGCCTTAGCCAGAGCCTGGCCAGAGCCCAGCCAGCCCAACTCCCAGAGGGAGGCGGCCTCCTGAGGGGGCTCCAGGAAAGCAGAAACGGAACTGATGCATGAGGAAAATATCCCCGAAAGGCCTTTGGCAGAGATGTTAAACATTTTATAGAACACTAGTGATAAGTAATAGGAAATAAAGTGAATAAAAAATGAGGCCATCATTAACTTTAGGTGTAGGGCAGAGGAATTTGTAGGACAGAGGAAGGGCAGAGGAATTCTTCTACTTGTCGGGAATTCACTTGGGTGGGGCAATGAGCTAAAGGCAAACCTTTGCTTCTGGTCATTGCTTGCTTGCTACACCGCTGTAAGGGGAATTATGGGATGAGGTCATTGAAGCACGGGCAACTGGCCTATCAGGCAATAGAGGGCAACCAACCCGCCAATTATTTCAAAAGGCAATAGTGGGCAACCAATCATTTTAAAGGTCAACGCATGATCCATGCGTAGTCGGCTTGTGCGCAGCTTGTGCACCATGGGGATAAAAGGCATGCCGTTGTTCCGGTCGGGGTCCTTGCCTGTGAGAGTGGCCACTGCGTTGGTGCTCTGGGGCTTGGACCCTGGCTAGCCAGAAAATAAACCTCCTCTTGTGTGATTGCATCCTCGATGTCTCTGCTTTTCTGTCCAGTGGGGCTGTGGAAGGTCGGTCCCTAACATAGGAATACTGGATGGCTGCACAAGAATGGAGCCAGGCAATGCTGCAGTTGGCTCAGCTGTGAACTATACTCGCATGGTTGTTATAAATATTGACTATTGATTCCTCCAAAAAATGTGATAAAGCTATGTTGGGTGGTAGGGGAGGGGAGGCGATGGGCGGGTGTACATGCAGGAGAGTTAGACAGTCATCCAACCCCGTCAGTGAGCAATGTCTAAAAACAATGAATGAGCAAAGAGCAGAGGAAGCACGGTATTCATGATGGAGAAAAATACCCGAGAAAATAGCTAGAAGACCTGCCAATGGCTGCATCTGGGAAATAGATCCGGGTGGTGAGAAGGCTTAGGGAATGGCTATTTTTCATTAAAAAATTATATACATACATACATCTATACCTATATATATATAATTATACATATATCTATTAAAATCAATTTTTAAAAATGCTCACACCTAAAAAGGGGTATATATAATTGAGCGCTGTGGAGCGTGGGCAATCGCAAACGGCTACCAGGGAAGTAGGGATTGGCACCGCCATTGTGGAAGGTCATTTGCAGAATCCAGCGAAATTTTAAATCCACGTATCCTTTCACTGAGAAGTCTTCTTGGATTTTTTCCTTAGAGAATTACTTGCAGGTGTGCTCAAGGAAGCGTGCCTAACGATGTTCCTGGAGCATTGTTTATAAGGTAAAAAAATGACAGTGCTATAAATGAAGGACGAAAGGCAGGAGCAGCAAAACAGAAGTCTGGTTTTCTGCCGTGCTGCAGGCACTCACTGTACGTAATGCGTGCGGATAAGGCAGTGTCTCTCAGACACACTGTTTGGTGAAAACCGCAAGTTCCAGAAAACATTAATACTACAATTGCAATTGCACCCACACAAAATGAAACAGTATATTTTTATATGTTCACACTAGTATGTATATACTTAGGGAAAGTTCTGGAAGCATATCTACCTCAACTGGTAACAGTGATCGAGTGGGGACTTCACTACATATGTAGTATCTTTTTAATTTTGAAATGTAAATCTATCTTTTTAAATGTTTAAAATTTTTTTAATTGTGCTAAAATACACATAAAATGTACCATTGTAACCATATTTAAGTGTACAGTTCAGTAATGTTAAATACATTCATGTTGTTGTGCAACCCATCTCCCAAACTCTCTTCATCTTGCAAAACTGGAACTCCCCATTAACCACTTCGGGACCAGCGTCGACTATAGTCGACAGCCACAGATGAACGCGCACAGCGACTTTAGCCGACAACCGTGATGTGACTTTTCTAATTTTTTGTTTATCAAAATAAAATTGTGAACATTTAAACATAACGTAATGAAAACATGTATGTATATGTTACCTATTCTGATTTACATTACAAGTAAAGCTGCCTGTAAAGTAACACAAGCTTTCAGTGCTCTAAAGCTTTCCTCATCACACAAGAGCAAAACCGATGCGTCGTCAATGCACAGCACACACTGTCGTGTGGACTGTGAGTGCCGGCTGTGGCCAAGGTTTCGCAGCCGGTGAGCACCGTAGGGAAGTGGTTAAACAAGTCCCTGTTCCTTCTCCTCACAGCCCCTGGCAACTACTATTCTACTTTTGGTCTCTGAATTTCACAACTTTAGGAACCTCATATGGGTGGAATTGAACAGTATTTGTCTTTTTTGTGACTGGCTCATTTTACTTAGCCCAATGTGCTCAAGGGTCATCCACGTTGCGGCATATATTAGAATTTCCTTCCTTTTGAAGGCTGAATTGGACTTTTTTTTTTTTTTTTTTTGAGACAGAGTCTCACTTTGTTGCCCAGGCTAGAGTGAGTGCCATGGCGTCAGCCTAGCTCACAGCAACCTCAAACTCCTGGGCTTGAGTGATCCTTCTGCCTCAGCCTCCCGAGTAGCTGGGACTACAGGCATGCGCCACCATGCCCGGCTAATTTTTTATGTATATATCAGTTGGCCAATTAATTTCTTTCTATTTATAGTAGAGACGGGGTCTCGCTCTTGCTCAGGCTGGTTTTGAACTCCTGACCTTGAGCAATCCGCCCGCCTCGGCCTCCCAAGAGCTAGGATTACAGGCGTGAGCCACAGCGCCCGGCCTGGACTTTTTTTTAAATGAGAATGTATACTCATATTTCAGTGAAATAAAAAATATGATTTTTTAAAAATAAAAAGCAAATATACACTTAGAAACTGGAAGGAAATACACAAAATTGTTACTCATTCCTTTCTGGTTCAGGCAATTATGGTCATTTTAATTTTCTTTCATATACTATTTTTTTGTTTGGATTGTGTGTTATTTTAACACCAGAGAAAATATTAAACATAAAGAGAAAGAAAGTGTGCTGTTCCGGGTTGGGTGCGTCACCCTGCGAAGCCCCACCATTTGGAAAGGAGCAGGCCCGAGGCCTGGGGGTGCACTCGGTGGGCCCCAGAGATGGGGCTGCAGGCCTGGCACTTGGGTGTGGTGCACCCCAAACAGGTCCCACTGCCT